CCCCCTCTCGCCAGCCTTGATCACTGGTGTCATGGTGATAACCATGCAGATTCCAGGTCCAGGATACAGATTTATATAGGACATGCAGATCTTTACTGCAAGTCTGTCATAGTTTGTGTACTGATATTTCCTCTGTTTTTAGGTTGCTAGGACATTCTATAAAGTTGGTCGTTTTTCAGACCTGGAATATATAATAAAATGTGCAATGAGTTCAGCACAGTTTAGCGGCATCAAAATCTACCAACGTGAACTCGATTTTCTTGGTGTAACTGCGTGTTATTGTAATGGAAATTTGACTGCAGCTTTCAATGTAATTCGCGTCGTTCTTCTTAGAAACGCAGGTGAGAAACATTGTAACTAAAATAAAACGAAACACTACATGATTGTTTGTAATTGAACAAAAAACAAGATGGCGCTATTTGTTTGATTACAACAAACAAGAAAACAATTATAAGATGGCACCTTTATGCCTAACATGCAGCATGTCATTGATCTATTTACGCCTAACATGTCATTGATCTATTAAGTTATTCAGACCTACCCTATACCCGCAGATTCGATTACTGCCAAAAGGCCTGCAGTTGCATATTCCTGGTTAGGTATAATAAATGTATAAAATTTACACCGCTCAAAATTATTTTCCATCTTCAAAACCCTACTATCAGCCATTTTTATGACCTATAGGGTTATTACATGAGGAGTATAAGAGTGTCCTCTTCTCACTCCACCAACGCACTCTTCATACTGAACATGCAATCTTTTTTATTTTATGATCATCATCTAGATTGTAAACATCTTTGGAATATGTTCGCAAGGATGATGGTTGGTAATGGTGATTCAAAACATCAGAAATTTTGTCTTCGATTGTTGCTCAAGAATCCTGAAAGTTTTTCTCTCCAGATGATAAATGGTCACAATGCTCTCACGTCTGGGAATTATAGATATGCTTTAGGTAAGGAGACAACACGCTTGAAAATTACAAGGATTCTTATTAAAGTGCATATAACTTCAATCTATTTATCTTGAACGAACGAACTCGTAAGAACTGCATTAAATAACTTGTTTGTAGATTGTTATTCCGGCAGCATTTGAATGTAACTGGGATATTTCTGCTAACGTATGTTCATGTCCGCTGCCACACAATCTACATTATCGAATACTTCGCTTGCCCCAATACAGAGGTTCAGATTTGACTTCCGTCACCTCTCATTGGCTACCCATGCATCCAACACATCCGATGTTACAATGTTACAATGTTATGTTACAAAAACAACCCTTATATACATGAATCTAATTAGCATGCATATATACTGAATATATTACAATTCTCTTTCTTTTTTTTTTTAAATTTTAAAGTTATTTAAAATTGTATAAGGTCTCTAATTAAACTAAGTGTCTATTACTGTTCGATTATAATACTTAATAATACTAGTTCACGACTAATGTTCATTATATAACCATTATATATTTAACTTAATAGTCAATCTAAATCTAAATGTCTCGTGAATAATGTGTTCATCATAACTTTAGTTAACTAAATTAACATGCTTGATATCTCTCAGGTGGCTTACTCAATCGTCCGCTTCTAGTTTTATAATATTGTCCAGTACTTGGCTCTGAGACTTCTTCCTCACGAACTTCTCTGGCACCATCAGACTGGAAATCTTCAATTGGTTCCCACGGTCTTGATATCTGAACACCATTCTGCTTTCTGATATGATTTCTGTTTCTTCTAAATCGTTGACCATTGGGTGTTTGAATGATGTACGATGTAGGTGTTTTCAGTTTCTCTTTGATCACTGCTGGTTTCCACTTATTCTGTACTTGTACTCGTACTGCTTCTCCTTCTTGCACTGCCGGAAGCTCCGTGGACCCTCTGTCATAATATCGTTTTTGCTTTCTTTGTTTTTCTTCGAACTTTTCTTTCATTCTCTCAGGATCAACAACTTTTGGCTGAAGTTGATTTGGCGTAGTTGGTAAGTGCGAACGCAAACGTCGGCTCATCAATATTTGTGCTGGTGAAGCTACGTTACCAATGAGTGTGTTGCGATACTCCAACAAACTTAGGTACGGATCTTTTCCATCTTGTTTTGCTTTCGATAGCAAACGTTTCACGATTTGAACTGCTTTCTCAGCCAAACCGTTTGATTTCGGATAATATGGACTTGAAGTCTGGTGCTCGAAATTCCACTTTTGTGCGAACTGCTTGTACTCTGTGGCAGTGTACTGAGGACCATTGTCACTTCTTACGACTGATGGAATTCCATGTCTTGCAAATATGGACTTCATATGATTCACAACAGTTCTGCTGGTGGTGTTTTCCAACTTGACTACTTCAATATAACGCGAATAATAATCTGCCACAACCAGATAGTTGTTCTGTTCCCACTGAAACAAATCAGTTGCGACCATTTCCCAGGGTCTCGATGGTATTGTTCCTTGCACCATGGGTTCTTTGGGATTCGACATCTGGTATTCTTGGCAGGTTTGACATTTGGATACAACAGCTTCAATTTGCTCATTCATTCTTGGCCAAAACATAATGTCCCTTGCTCGTCGTTTGGATTTCTCTATGCCCATGTGACTCTCGTGTATTCTTTCTAGCATCTTTCCTCTCATACTGAGGGGTATGATAATCTTGTCTTGCTTCAACAAGATTCCATCTACTTCTGAAAGCTCGATAATTCCAGTAGTCCTGGATTTCGCAAGGTGTTTGTTTTCTTGTCTCTGGCCATCCCCTTCGGATTGTTGAGAACAGGGTCTTCATGGTCTGGTCAATCGCTGTTTCTTTCTTGATTTGTTCCAGTCATTCTTCGGATACTGGCATTCTGCTGGTTACCGTGTGCACGTAACATTCTAACTCTTCGTTCATCTTGCTACTGTCCACATCATCATCGGTAAGGTAAGCTCGAGAAAGTGTATCCGCGATGATCATTTCTTTCCCAGGTCTGTATTTCAATGTAAAGTCGTACCGTTGCAACCGTAATAGCATTCTCTGCAGACGAGGTGGCGCTGACGTTAACGACTTCTTCACAATTGAGACCAGCGGTTTATGATCAGTTTCAACTTCTACAGCTCTGGCATATGTGTACTGGTTGAACTTCTCGAACGCAAAAACAACTGCCAATAGTTCTTTTTCGATCTGCGCATACCGAGTTTCCGCATCTGTCAGGGCTCTCGAAGCAAACGCGACTGGTTTGTCATCTTGAAGTAACGCTGCTCCCAACCCGCTCTTTGAAGCATCACACGTCACCGTCACCGGTTTCTTCACATCATAGTATGCAAGAACTGGCGCCTTTGTTAGTATTTCTTTTACTTCTTGGAACGCTTTCTCCTGTGCACCTCCCCATTGAAACTCCACGCCACTTTTCATAACCTCTCTAATCGGCTGCATTATCGTGGACATGTTAGGTATAAACTTTGCTAGATAGTTCACTGTACCAAGCAATCGTTCAGCTCCTTTCTTATCTTCGGGAGGGGGCATTTGCTTAATGGCTTTAACCTTCTGCTCATCCGGTTTCACACCTTCTCGGGTTAACTTGTGACCGATATAAGTGACTTCTTTCACTCGAAACTCGCATTTCTCTTTGTTGAGAGTGAGGTTGATCTCTTCACATCGTTGTAGGGTATTCATCAGACGTTCGTCGTGCTCTTCGACTGTGGCTCCCCAAACCAAAATATCATCCACATCTGTTTCCACGCCCTCGAGATCTCCAAAGGATTGACACATTCGTTTCTGGAATACTTCTTGCGCAGACTTGATTCCAAATGGCATCCTTTTATAACAGTAACGGCCAAATGGTGTGTTGAATGTGGTCAGCAATCGGCTCTCTTCATCTAGTGGTATTTGCCAATAGCCATGATTTGCGTCCAGTTTGGAAAATACTCTGGCTCCAGCCACACGCGTCGTGATTTCCTCTATTGTTGGCATCTTGAAGTGTTCTCGCTTGATAGCTTCATTGAGTGGTCTCGGATCAAGACAGATTCATAGTTTGTCACTGTTTGGCTTCTCTATAATCACTGTCGAATTCACCCACTCGGTTGGACCATCGACTTTCTCCACGACTCCCTTTTCTTCCATATCGTCTAGCGAAGACCTCAGCCTCTCTCTGAGCGCAACTGGTGTACTTCTTAAAGGACTGACGACAGGTATAATCGTAGGGTCGACTTCGATGTGGTATGGATTCTTTAGGCATCCCAAATCTTGAAATACTTTAGGAAATTTCTCATGAATGGTTTCTGCTGATTGACCAATCACATTGTTCACATTCATGATGATTTTGATCAGATTCAGTTCTTGAGAAGCTTTCAAACCAATGATGGGAACTTGTCCAGTTTTCACCACGAAAAATTTCAATGTCTTGTTGTTACATTTCAGATTGCATTCTCCGACGACCGGTAGATAATCGCCAGTGTAACTTGTTAACTTTGCTGTTGGTCTTTCTAACCGGGTTTGTTTCAGCTTCATCTTCTCGAATGTAGGTAGGGGTATTATATTGGCTTGTGATCCCGTGTCAATCTTGAACTTGATCTCATTTCCCTCGATTGATAAAGTTTTGAAAACATTCTCTTCGTTATGAATTGAATTAAC